AACTAATTTGATACATATGGCTAATCAAGAAGAAAATAGCAGATTTCCTATTGTATGGTTGGGTCCCTGACTTCAACAATCGGCCCGCAAGTTCCAAGTTCTAACCACGTTTCAATCTAGGTAACCTTTTAGACAAATCAGGGAATCCTTCTCATATATAGTTGTTGATGTACTAGAGGTGCTGTGTGCCTGTGGTAGTTTGAAGCAGCTCGATCGGCTGCTGTCGTCGGCAAGGCTCCTGAGTGGGAGGACTACAGCAGACTGTTGGCACATTGATCCGTCTCATCGTCCCAGGTTCCCCTAATCAGCAGAAAAGTAAGCCCGTATCATTTTACTCCCAGATTTTCTCTCCATCCAAGTGAACTGATCGCAAAATCTGCACTAACTAATTTGATACATATGCCTAATGAAGAAGAAAATAGCAGATTTCATATTGTATGGCTGGGTCCCAGACTTCAACAATTGGCCCTCAAGTTCAATTTGAGATGTGTAGGAAGCTTAATTACAGATGTTTCCCCATATGAGACTACATGGCCAGAATAAGTTTTTATTTCCTGTATGGAGGAATACGATGTATATATTTTTGTTCAGATTACGTCTACTCTGAATCTCTGATTACACACGGGCATGCATGGTATCTGTCTAATTATTTCACGTTTTAGCATCAAGGGAAGTTTTGATGACTTCCTTTTAATTTGTACAAACCAACTTCCAAGCTTTCAAAGAATCATGTCAGATAATTTATAATATTTTCTAGGTAGAGCTGATGATATCTTTTTAAATTGTCACCCATGCAAGAATAGAGCTAGCTACATGAATTACTTGAGTCATGCATGTTATTGTGAAAGTCGTTTCTTCTCAGGACACTCTAAATATTAATACCAAAGGTATAGCGCCTACAGTAATTTATCCTCCAAGTACCAACTTCCAAGATTTCTCATAATAATGTATAATAAAGTGAATAATCTTTTCTTGGTAGACTTGGTAGTTAGATTCTAAAGCAGAAACCGGTGCAGAAAGTAAGCTGGCTGTAGACCTATGTTGTACAGGTTTTTATATATGGTTCATATTTTCTTTGGCAAAAACGCTCCGGATAGATGATATTTAATTATGTAAAATAAGATATTCACATCAATTTTTCCTACAAGACCTATCAGTTGTCTTTTCATGTGTTCTCATTTTATATAGCAATGAGTTGTGCGGATTGATAAGTGTATACGTATTGTAAGATAAAATGTTTTCTGCAAAAGTTGTAGGCTTATGCCATCGATTTTGATTTTCCTATTTGTTGATTCAAATCAAAGGTTGAAAAGTAGTGGCTTTCAATCTGATGTTGTGTTGTCGCTCAAGTTTGTGCTCTTCTACTTTCATAGAAACAGATTTCACCATACTTCTAAGTCACCTGCTCCTCATGGAAACCGACTTTTAGCATAAAAAATCAAGTTAGCTAATTTATTTTTATTAAGTTTGATTCCTTTTACTAATGATATAAATTTGTACTTTCTGAGGGCATATATGTATTCTCCTATGCCTCAGATGCTTCTTCTTTCATACATACATATTTCACTAAGCTCCTAAATCATTTGTTCTCTTTAGAGAAACTGAATGTTGGCATGCACACCATTCAGGCTAGCCATTTTAGCTTAAATTATCTTCATTTTTCTAATTGCATTTATATATATTCTCCACTACTGAATATTTGTATTATAAAAAAGTATCGCATGCGTACCAGGAAACAGGGGGGGTGGTGTGTCAGTAATTTCTTCACTTTGGGAGAATTTCTGTAGCCTTTTTGCCAGATTACATCACTCAATATATGTTTGCATCTAATGAACAAGATCTTATCCTATGGTTTCCAAATTTATTTATCACATGTATGTGAAAATATACAAACCAAAGACCCTTAAATAAGGATTGATGGTAGCATAGTTTGGCTGCATAGTTATCTGTATGTATAGTCTTTAGGCACAAGTAATTGATCCGCGGCAGGTCTATATGTATCTTTCAGAACATAAAATTTCAATCCCCCTCCTTCAATTTTTTTTAATTCCTATAAAATTATCACAGGAATTTTTGCGAGAAGTTTCGTTCAACTTCATTCCGTTTAAAACTAACAATATCATTTTTATTTCTGCAGACGTCGCGTTCAATGATCATGGGGAATTAATGCCGAAGATTATCCTGAAAGTCGCTCCAACTGTTACGGGTCGTTTGTCCATCACGTTTTAATTTCTTGATTTTTTTTCTTCATTCTCGATGTTAACTCATGGCCAAATTTACAATTTAACGAAATTTGGACCAATTAAATTATGATTTTTATTTGAAGCATTTTCTTCATATAATCAAAACACACACAAACCTATAATGTAATAGATTTTGATTGTTTGGCAATCATTTAAGTTCATACGAAATCCATATATGATGGTGGTACTAAGAAATATCATGTCATGTCATCCTTTATGATAACCTCGCATGATATTTGATTTAAAGTTCCTTTTTTAACTCTGAGGATAGCAATATCGGTCTATTTTTAATCAGTTCCATGTATGTTCTGTGAAATTTTGGGCAATAATTATGAGTCCCCCAGAAGTAACAACAAGCTCATTTTTGTTAAACATCAGATAAATATTACCAAACAAGGTAGTGAATTTCATTTTTTCTGAAAATGAAAACAAATAAACATGGATGCATCTAAATGCATACTTGAGGTAACAAGACATGCGATCCATAGTGTTTTTATGTTTCTTATTTAATTTCATTCGACATATGATGTTCCTTATAGTAGTACTTACTGCCAACAAAATTCACATCTATTGTCATGTTCTATTTGTTTTCGTAAAATTTGTTTATTAATATGATCTTTCGTAATTTTCACATCATAGAAGCATATGGAATAACTATAGTACCTTAGTTGTTCCTTCTTTCAGAACCCTATAACTTTTGTACGTGCCAATTTAGGATAAAAATAACATGTCTTTGGGTATCCCTAGATGTATGAATTCATGGTGCAAAAGAAAGTACGAGAAGAACTACTGTGACTACTTCTCTAATAATGCATTTTGCAATAGATGCGTAATCACAACTTTAAACTTAGAAACATAAATGTAACTGTAATATTCAACAAACTTAGAAACAAATTAAGTTGAGAATATAGATTTTATTTTGTACTGCGGGTTACAACTAAAAGGCAGACTATTAGTTGTTTCAATAGTAATATTGCAAGCATATTCCATAATATCTTTCTATATTTCTCATTCTATATATTATTCTTTTAGAAAATGCTAGCCCATGCAGATGCACGGGTTGATAAGTAGTAGTATTAACTATGATCGTGGATTGGACGGAGCAGATATAATAAGTGGAGGGAGCATTATATCAGAGGCTGACACGCGGGACCCGTTCCCTGGGGCCCACGTGGCAGCGAGAGGAAATGAGGTCGCTTGCTCACTTGGTTAGCCAGTCGGTCCACGGTGAGGAAGGCCAAAGGGAGGGGGTTGGTTTTTCGTTCTTTCTCTGCTTGGATTCGATTGGAATTGGATGGACGCTGCCGCCCATAAATACGAGGGAGACAAAGGAAGTGTGCGAGAAGCCAGCAAGCCCAAGTGAAGAGAAGAGAAGAGAAGAGGGTTTTCATCTCCCGCTGCTGGTGGAGAGGGCAGATCCACACACTCCTCATCGCTCATCGCAACCTTGACTGACCAAGGTGACGACCGATCGAGCTCCATCCATGGCCTATCCCCGGCCTTTCCTTCTCGAGTTTCTCTCTTTCTCATCTTGCCGAGCTTCTGGTCCTCCTTGTCTCGGAAGGTGCTGTGTTGTTTCATTTCTCTCTGTTTCCTTGCCGGCCGATCGATGGTTCGTAGATCCAGCAAAGCTAGTCGCTGGTAGGTAATAGGTATATATACGACACTCGCTGGATCGATCGGCGGCTCTTGGTATTTTTTCCGGCGGCGGAATTTTATCTTCTTCATGCATGGTCCGTCCGTTGTACAATCGGGCTTGTAACTTTGTGAGTGATGATGAAACAGTCGCTAGTGCTTGCTTGCTTGCTTGCCGGTTTCTTTTGCGCACGAGGGTCTTCAGGCTGGTTTGATGATGTGTTTCTTCTTCTTTTCTTTTCTTCTTCTTGCTGCAAAGTATGGTGATGTTGTACTGATCGATCGTTTCCTTGTTTCGTGATGGTTTCCAGATTCCTGATTATTATTATTATGTCCAAACTTTTTCTTTGCTCCATCTAAATCTCACCTGGATCGGATATATACGAGCAGAACCCTTACTTAACTTCTCCTTAATTTCTTTGTGGGAAACATACCATGCATACATCATAGCAAATGAAAGTCATTTTCATGCCATACAAATTGTGTTATTCCCGTTATCAGTGTGCTTCATATAATTAATTGAATTCGTGGCGAAAATATATGAAAAAACACATGGAACTAATTAACTAATTAATCGTGGAGCGCTGCACACAGGTAGTGGTTGTACTTGAAAAAAAGAATGGAACACTTAGTTAATTCCCTGCCCAAATTAAAATATATAGCCTTGTTTGGTCAGATTCCCTTGCAGTGTTTTTCTTTGTAGATGAGTAGCAAGGGTGATCCAAATCCAAGCAAGTCCCATGGCGAACCCAGCAAGTCACCAATGTCCCACACTGAAAAGGGCGATCGCAGCAAGACGGCCACCCCTCGGAGGCTACCGATCACGAGGCCACCTCAGCTTGGCAAGAGAGGGGAGACCATACAGCTACTCACGAACCACTTCAAAGTCTCTGGGAATCCAACACATGACTTCTTTTACCACTACAATGTAGGAGAACATGCCTCGTCCTACCTACATTACATAGCTAGTCCATCACCGTTCCAGTTCTTGAAATTAATTTCCATGCATTGGCTACATTTTGACACTTGGTTTTCTATTTTTATGGGTCGTATCGAGCGCAGGTGGATCTCAAGTATGAAGACGATCATCCGGTAACCGGACAAGGAGTATGCAGAAAGGTGATGAAGCAGCTGCACGAGACCTATGCCTCTTTGCTTCAAGGCAAGCAGTTCGCCTACGATGGCGACAAAAGCCTCTTCACCTCTGGGCCTCTCCCATTTGCCTCCAATGTTTTTGATGTTGTCGTAGACGGCGATGCTTCGTCCAGAAAGTAAGGCATTCATCAACTTCAATCCAACACCCATTTCTCACCAGGGAAAGCTGATCTGTTCTTAAGCTCACCGATCTCTCTTTGGTCGGGGGAATTGTCTTGCCATTTACCTCTGCAGGATTGCAACGAGCCAGAGTCCAGGAGGAGTTGGCAGCCCAGGGCCAAGTGACAAGAAAAGAATGAAACGGGCAGGACTTGACAAAAGGATCAAGGTGGGTATTACCTTCACAGCAAAGGTTCCGATCAGTGCCATTGGCCATGTCCTTGGTGGTGGTCAGGACACTGAGAACTCGCAGGAAGTTCTTCGGGTTCTTGACATCATTCTGAGGCAGAACGCTGCAAGACAGTACGTTGTTGTGTTTATTTAAGAACAACTTCTTCTATCTTTTATCTAAAATGTTGCCAACTCTATGATTACTCATTCTTAGTCTCTTTCTTAATCACTTTCTTGTTGGCTGCAGGAATTGCCTCTTAGTCCGACAGTCTTTTTTTCGTAGAGATTCTGATTACGTCAAGTTGGGTGGCCGTGTTCTCGGTTGTCAGGGTTTTCATTCTAGTGTTCGACCCACTCAAAGTGGGCTTTTACTCAATGTTGGTATGTTTATAACCTACCTAGTGGCCTAATTTGCACGAGCTTCCTGGTAAAACGTTTTTTTACAAGATTGACGGTGCATATTTGCACGCATGATATATAGATTGTTGAATTTGTGCAGATTTATCCACCACCATGGTAGTGGAGCCTGGGCCGGTGATTGTTTTTCTGCTCTCCAACCAGGGTGTCACGGACACTTCTAGCATTGACTGGGGCAAAGTAGGCTGAAACTTAGTGATTTCTTGTTAACATATTCATAGCCCTTCAAACATTCATCATTACTACACTACAATGTTTCCCTGCTCTAATCTTGGTCGTCCATGACATAATTTTAGGCTAAACGGGCGCTGAATAAATTAAGGATTGAAACCACTCACACGAAGGCGGAATTTAGGATTGTCGGATTGTCTGAAAACAGTTGCTATAACCAGACGTAAGATGTTACTCTTGATTTGAATCAGGAAATGCGAGTTCACGGCACATGCCTCAGCTGCTCTCATTTCAATATAACTCATATAATTTTTTTTGATCTAGGTTCCCACTAAAGCAAAAAGATGGCAACGGCACTGTGGATGTAACTGTCTATGATTACTTCATGGACCGTTGGTCGATGAAGCTGGAGAAGTCTGCTCATATGCCATGTCTAAATGTGGGGAAGCCAAACCGCCCAACATACCTCCCGCTGGAGGTCCGTCCCTCGCTTCCTATTCTTGTTTTGAATCAGTCTTTTGGTAGTCATGTCTTTTTTTTGTGTGTGCTCATTTCCATGTTTGTTACAGGTTTGCCGTCTAGTGCCATTGCAAAGGTATAAAAGGTCTCTGTCCACGTTGCAAAGGTCAAAGCTGGTGGAGGCATCCAGGCAGAGGCCGGATCAGAGGATGTCGAAGTTGCATGGTATAAGTTACTCTGATACCCTGAATTCAGCTAAACTGCGGTAGATACGTTCACAACGTCTCCTAAAAACATCAAAAAGACAAAAAATAAATTCTCAATTTTGTTTACCAATCATGGTAGGAGTTGCGTGCCAATGATTATGATTCCGAGCCAATGATGAGGGAATGCGGCATATCAATAGTTCTAGACTTTACCCAGGTTCAGGGTAGAGTCCTTGAGGCACCACAGGTTGGCAGAGCCCTACCTGTTCTTTTGACTGGCTGTTTTTGAATGCGTACTGACACTGTGCGCACGCCCTTTTCTGCTTTGCATCTAATTAAGTATCTAATGTGCAGTTAAGCGTTGCAGATGGTAGACAACTATACACACCTAATGGGAGATGGAACTTCAATAAAGACGTGAGCAACTGACCATACCTGTTGATTGGACTCCACATATATCCACCATATACTATTTATTATCGCGTCGACGTGGTAACATTCCCGGTTCTATTCTTCAGGGGTTTATTCAGCCGATTGAGTTTACGAAGATCTGGGGAGTCGTTAATTTTTCTACACGGCGTGATGTTGAAGATCTTGTTTTTCGCCTTTTCCAATGTGGTGACAAGAAGGGAATTGTAAGTTCGCCGCTTCACCTTATGTTGGGCCTTTTCAAGTGTCCTGGTAGCGCTCAACCAGTTTGATTTGCAGAAAATGGACAAATATACAGCTGTAATTTAGGAGAGGCATCAAATGAAACATGAATCTCCGGCAAAAAGGGTGGAGGATATGTTTCATCAGATAAACAGAGTATTCGGAGAAAATAATCCAGAGTTTCTCCTGTGTGTTCTTCCTGAGAAGAACTGTGACATATATGGTTTGCTCTGCCTCTGCTAACTCAGCCTTGCTAATAAGCTTCAATATGCCTCTACCAGCCATCCAAGCCTTTCTTCTTGTTCTTATCAGGACCATGGAAGCGCGAATGCCTTGCACAACGTGGCATTGTTACACAATGCTTGGTTCCTCCTCCCAATGCCAAAGATCAGTACCTCACAAATGTGCTGCTAAAGATAAATGCCAAGGTTTGGATTATGATTTGCATTGCCATCTTCAATGTACCACATATATACTTTGGATTTGTTAGCTGAAAAACTGAATGCTTTGCTTTTATTAATTTTTTTCTTGCCAAACAGCTTGGCGGCTTGAATTCATTGCTGAAAAAGGAAATAGCCCGTGCTATTCCTCACGTGTCGAGGATTCCAACCATCATCTTTGGTATGGACGTTTCCCATGGTTCACCAGGGCGTGACGTGCCATCGGTTGCTGCAGTAAGTAACATATTATGCTTCTGTTTTCAGTTTCCTGCAGTAAGAAACTTAGGTGTCAGCTGATAGTCCTTGAGAGATTTTCCAACCGATAATTTTCTGACTCACCCCGGTATTTTTGGCTTTTACCTAGGTTGTTAGTTCATTGGAGTGGCCAATCATCTCAAAATACAGAGCTTCTGTGTGCACTCTACCACCCAGGCAGGAAATGATCAAAACCTTGTTTAAGCAAGATGGAGATACTGATCATGGCCTCATTAAGTGAGTTTCTGCGGCATAGGTTTTAGATAAGTGAAATTTAAACAATGTTAATAACAGTGCTTCCTAACCGTATGCTTTTCTTTTTCTTCTTTTTGCTCACTGGGCTATAACATTTCAGGGATTCACTAGTTGCCTTCCTCGGAAAAGACAATAAACTGAAGCCGGAACAAATTATCATTTTCAGGTCAGTTGTCCTCCTGGGATAATGTGCGCAAACGCTAACTGATAGTGTACTTTCTACTTCAGCATCATAACTTTTTTTTTGAAAATAATCATAACTGTCGTGTAGAAATTGGTTTATTAATTGTGTGTTGTCCCTCAGGACACTCCCCACATTTTATTCATAGTGTTAAGAGTACAAACTGACTCTAATACTTGACGTCTTCAGTAAGTTTACTTTGGCACCCTGATGCTGTCTAAGGAGTTCTATTGTCTTGATTTTAGGGATGGAGTTAGTGAGAGCCAGTTCGATCAGGTGTTGAATGATGAGCTAGGCCAGATCATGGAGGTAACATAAATGACATCCAATTCTTCCTCATGCGCCGGTTCTTGATGTAATGATGTAATTCTAATTGATACTACAGGCATGCAGGTTTTTTGGCGACGAGCATTTTGGTGGCAACTAGTTCCCCAAGTTCACAGTGATAGTTGCACAGAAGAATCATCACACAAGATTTTTCTTGCGGAATGGAGTGAATAATGTCCCCCCTGGTAACCTATATCTTTTATCCAAGTACCTTTACATTCTTTCAAAAAAAAATCTGAATTTTCAATCTTTCAATTTTAGTGGAGGACGGCAATCATCGGGATCGTTAGGTTGTTCCGTTTGTATATACGCATTCACACGAAATCAAAAACACTTGATAAGAATCTCTACACACCTAGCTACCAGAAAACTATTATTTGCAATTTTGTATGGATCAAACAAGCTCAATTTCTGTGCTTTTTGTACACATACATTCTTATCATAGTCCTACTTTCCCGTTGTTTAGGTACTGTGGTTGATGGAGTAATCTGCCATCCCAGGAACTATGATTTCTACATGTGTGCTCATGCTGGCATTATCGTATGTTCTCTCTATACCTTGTGTGAGTTGTGATTGTAATTCACTGCTTTGCAAATGCTTATTTGAATCTAATTAAGTCAGTCCTCTATGCTCATGTGTTAATTCCAGGGGACTACAAGGCCAACACACTACCATGTGCTCCATGATGAGATAGGCTTCTCTACTGACGATCTGCAGGAGCTCGTGCACTCCCTGTCCTACACGTATGTGCACTGAAACAGTTACAAAAGATTCAATTGTTACCTTAATTTGCCTCTGGTCCATGACCATAGTTGCACTCTTTGTGACATTTTGATGCTTGTGTACTCGTTTCAGGTATCAGAGGAGCACCACAGCCATCTCAGTAGGTAATATAATTAAGCATGATTTGCCATTACTTGATTGATCTCGCAACATCATATCAGTCAAAACGGCATGCATGGCTGATCATCTGATTTTCGCTCTCTCTCAGTTGCTCCCATCTACTATGCACACCTTGCCGCGGCGCAGGTGGCCAAGTTCACCAGGCTCGATGACGGCATGTCGGAGACGTCATCCCAGGCTGAGGCTGCGCCGGTGCCGGAGCTGCCTCGTCTGCATCCCAATGTGGCATCGTCCATGTTCTTCTGCTGAGTCGTCCCGTGGTTTGCCCATCGTCCGTTATTAGTGACTGGAACTTTATCAAATGCTACATGGAACCGGTCATGGTGCTTTTGGTTTTAGCTGCTAGTAGAATTAATGGATGTTATCTCGAAGAACAATCTTTGATTGCTACCATATGGTACTTTCCGTGGAGCTCCTTCGCAATAATAATCTGAACTTTCGATAGTCAGGACCTTAAACTCTGCTCATGTGCTCCCACAAAAAAAAAACTCTGCTCATGTGCATCGTGCCAACGTATTCGGGGTGTCAAGTTTATAAATGTCCAACGGTTTATAACATTTAGCTTAACAATAAGTGTCACCATAGTTTTTTTTTATTCTATACTTTGCTGTTAATTACATCAATTAGCAAGGAAAGGCATGGCTGTTGAGCCTGCTTACAGGTTAGAGGAGATTGTAGTGAAATGAAATATGCTAACAGTAAAATATAGGATTACCCATTATTAAATTTATTTCTTCTGCAAACCAGAGGTGCCAGGTAGCCACAAAAATGCAACTAAGAGATAATTATTTGAGGATAGTACTAATTAAGCAACAACTTGCAATCTAGAAGTAATTTCTCGATTCTTTCAAACTGAAATTATGAGGTAGTAATTTGCAATATTCATATCAGTGCAAAATACAGGAGAGAGAAAAAAAATTCCATCCTCATCTAGGCAATGAAGCAAACCTTTCTCATATTTTGACTCCAATTTAGACCTGAAGCCCAACCTTGTCCAGCGCCTTCACGGTGGTGCCGGTGGCCATGAGATCTGGCGCCTTTGACTTGCCCTTCTCGGAATTCCACTCTGATATGGCCACGGGGGACCTGTGTTGTGTGCTTGTCTCGGCTGTGGGCGCCAATTGACGATGGGATTTGGGTTGCAGAGTGTGGTAGAGCTGCGCTAGTTGGGAAGGTCGGCTGCCGGCAGGAAACATGTGAGGTTGATCTCTCGGATCCGAGGCGGCGGCCTCGGCTTTGGCGGGAGGCGGGCGCTAAGGCTGGTCATAGTGAGAGTAACATAGGTAGTAACATACATGCCACATAAGCAAAGAAGATGATGTGTCACGCAATTAATGAAGAGAGAGACAAATAGAGTAACATATATATATGTTACCATCACATAGCGCTTTCCAATGCAAAATGAGTCTACAAAGCAATAAATGAAGATTTATATGTTATCACACTTATGTTACTCCCCACTATGAAGGTAGTAACATAGACTAGTAACATAACATGTGCATGTTACTAGTCTAAGTTACTCCCCACTATGACTAGCCTAATGATGGCTGCTCCAATTGGCCACGCGGGCGGCGAGTGGACGGTGGGTATAGTGACATCGTGTGGGGCGCCTGTACCTCTTTTCGTGTCTGATCTGAAGGTTGTTGCCACGCCTAGCTCATCTACCTTCTGGATCCAGTTCTGGGTGCTCTTTGGTCGCCAGATTTGGGGCGGGTGGCTCGTTATGGTAGTTAGGGTTCCGGAAGAAAAACCCGGCTCAAGGATGGCCATGACGATGACGACGACATCCGTGGGTGTTTCCCCCTTCTTGGAGGCGCCGTCGAGGACCTCTTTCCCCTTCTCACGTCGACCCGAGAGAAAACGCAATCCTTTTCGATTGGCATGTGTTGCCGCTTTGTTGAAGGCGCCACTGTCGAACTATGGGGGTTGTGATTGTGTTAGCCGGTCGGCATCGGGTTTTCGACGGTGGCTTGAGACCTTGCTTCGGCGACACCCCTCCTCTGCTACCGCTCCCTATGTTTTGCGACTCTGATCACTTACATCAGCCCAAGTGGTTTCCCATGGGCGGCGGCGGTTTTGTTCTTGCGGCGATCTCGGCATGGTTTGGTGGTCACACTTGGTTTCTCTTCCTTGGCGACCGTGTTGGAAGTAGGTTCCAATTGAGCTCTAGGGTAAGCAACTTTGCGTGCTGATGTGTCATGCCCTTGGAGCCAAGCACAATAGGGCGCAGGGGGGGCATCTTCAGCAGCGGAGACGGAAGTTAGCACGACTTGTTCCGGACACCCCGTGATATATGACGGCGTGCTCCAACCCTTTGCTCTGCTCACTTCATGTACATCACTCATTTTTGCTTCATTAGTGTCGACTTGGCGGGTGAGGACTTTGACTATCAAGCTGCACTTCTTGTTTAGTTATTTATTTTCTCACTTGTTTCGTCAAGCATCTTGTAAGTTGATCATGCAGCGTCATGTATGATGTATCTGTCGATTTTCCTGTTTCTCAGTGTGTTATTAGCATATCTTTCTTCAAGAAAAATTTGCCACTCATGTCAACTGACTATTCATTACAAGAAATATGTCAACTAGTGACCTTCTATCAGTGACCCTGGAAGAATTGGTCATAGATCTATGACCATTTCAGACCAATTGGTCAAAAGCTGTTCGAGGGGCTCCAAACCCTAAACAATAACGACCATTTTGGTCAGAAAGGTCGTAATTTCCTTACACGAAATGGTCATAAAGCAGATAGCGCAGCTCCGCTGCCTTATTTCTAGCTGATCATGACCAATATAGATGGTCATAACCTTGTAAATTATGGTGGGTTGCTATGACTAGGCGCCACCTCATCAGTTTTGCCTATGTGTCATGTCCATGTGGCAGTTTTTGCCCTAGGTTGTGAAGCAACCTATATTTCTGTCATTCCCAAAATTCCCAAAAAAATCTTATAAATTCTTTGGGTCATATCTTCGTCAAATATGTAAAAAACCTTCCTTGCGCTTGCGTAGTTCAAAAATAATTCAAAAATATTCATTTTCCTATTCTGTTCAGAAAAACACTTTGTGAAGGAAGTACCACTTTGGCATGTCCAAATGGTATCCATTTTCTACAGTGCTTTCCTCTACCCAAATAACCATCCTCCACCAAATGTCAGCTCAATCCATTCATTATTTTGAGCCTGGCTTCAACATTCGTATTTATGTCCAGTGTGGTACTTTGCAAAGCAAGTACCACCTAGGCTCCTCCTTTTGAGCTGAGAATTTGTGAAGACGGTCTTCTTAATAATTGATCATCCTCAGCCAAAACTCACACCCATTAGCCATGTGCATTTCCCGTACCGCTAATCAAACACTTGGCTGCTTATTCATGTTTGAGCATCGATCGGTCTCCTCATGAGAATCTTATGTTGTGATTTTCTTCCTAGCACCTACCTGGGGAGTGCCCAACCCACTAGACATGCCTAGGAAGCCCAGAACACATGGCAACGCCACGGTCACTCGATGACCACGCGGCGGGCATGCGAGTTTACGCGCTCTAGAGTTGGGGCCCTCGGCCATCGTCCAAACCTCGACGTATCGCCACCAAACCATGTATTTATGATTAAATAGGTACTTATGTAACTAGAAATGATTTTTGGAAAAAATAAATAGCAAACTATGAGGCAGCTGCAGTTCAAATTTGACCCGCTTCCAGCTGAATCGGCGGGAATTTGTCTTTTTCACCAGAGGTGGATCAAAACTTTTGACACCCAACCATTTTGTCAATTGTGCATTAAATATGTCCTAGTATTTTATAAAATTGATTTGTTCCAAATTTGCAACAAATATATGGTAGGTCCTTCATAAAAAAAACTCATTTCAGGCACTTTTTTAAAATAATTTACGCATTACAAGTTTATTATTTTTCCTGGAAACTTGGTCACATATAATGACACAATGCGAAGGTTTTCCAATTTTTGGATTATTTTTGAATTTTTTATGCCCGTTTCAAAATGCGTTCAAAATGGCAGGCTTGACCGTTCCTAGCTAGTGGTTGAATCTTGGAAAACTTTTGATGTTTCTCTGATTAAATAGATACTTATGTACATAGAAATTATTTTTGGAAAAAATAAATAGCAAACTATGAGGTCGCTGCAGTTCAAATTTGACCCATTTCTAGCTGAATCGGTGGGAATTTGTCTTTTTCACCAGAGGTGGATCAAAACTTTTTACAACCAACCATTTGGTCAATTATGCATTAAATATGGCCTAGTATTTTAGAAAAATGATTTGGTCCATGCAACAATTATTTGGTAGGTCCTTCACAAAAAACCTCATTTGGGGCACTCGAAAAATGGAAAATGGCTCTTTTGTGCAATGAAAGTGAAAACTTCCTTAGGAAACATTGTTTGGAATTCCAAGATGCACCCTTGTGCACAATATGAGATCATTTGAATAAACTATGCCATGAATGTGACCATAAAATTGATCATTTGGCTTGAAAGCCATGAATCTTCATGCATGATAGCTCGTTTCTGAGAACACTTTTTTAAAATAATTGTCGTATTACAAGTTTATTATTTTTCCTGGAAACTTGGTCACATATAATGACACAATGCAAAGGTTTTCCCATTTTTGGATTTTTTTTTGAATTTTTTATGCCCGTTTCAAAATGCGGTCAAAACGGCGGGCTTGACCGTTCCTAGCTAGTGGTTGAATCTTGGAAAAAATTTGATGTTTTCTCTGATTAAATAGATACTTATGTACCTAGAAATGATTTTTGGAAAAAATAAATAGCAAACTATGAGGCAGCTGCAGTTCAAATTTGACCCATTTCCAACTGAATCGGCGAGAATTTGTCTTTTTCACCAGAGGTGGATCAAAACTTTTTACACCCAACTATTTGGTCAATTATGCATTAAATATGACCTAGTATTTTAGAAAAATGATTTGGTCCAATTTTACACCAATTATTTGGTAGGTCCTTCACAAATAAAACCTCATTTGGGGCACTCGAAAAATGGAAAACGGTTTTTTCGTCCAAAGAAAATGAAAACTTTCTTAGGAAACATTGTTTGACATTCCAATATGCACCCTTGTGCATAATATGAGATCATTTGAACAAACTATGTCATGAATGTGGCCATAAGATTGATCATTTGGCTTGAAAGCCATTGATCTCCACACGTGATAGCTTGTTTCTGAGAACACTTTTCTAAAATAATTACCATATTATAAGTTTATTATTTTTCCTGGAAACTTGGCCACATATAAT